ATTGTAAGCTGCCCGGAGTCCTTCGGGAGTGGGCGGCATACAAGACCAATAAAATACAAATACAAATAAATAAATACATGAGCAAAAATGATCATCTCATTCCAAATCTTTTAGAATACATAGGTTGAGATTGATTTGTTCTTTTTAAATTAGAAATTAGGTAGCACATTTTTACTGCAGACTCAAGTCCTTAGTTCATCAAAAGAAGATGCCTAAGTCATAAGGTGATGAAGAGGCAAATAGTTTAGGTCAGTTTATTCACCAAGGGACTAGTGTAACAGAGTGAGGAAAATTTGAACATATTTAATTATGCATGCATAAGATTTTAACTCAGTTTAACTCACACAGGAAAAAGATTTAGCTACCATTTATTTTTCCTGAAAAGGCTTGGTTTCAAATTAAAAGGATATATGACGTAAACTGGTGGCCCCAACCATTTGGGCATCAGGGACTGATTCCATGGAACAGTTTTTTCATGGATTGGGGGGGGGGCATGGTTTTGCATCCTGCAGATGGGGTTTTGCTTGTTTGTGCAGCCCGATTGCTGGCATGCCACGGACTGGTGGTGGTCCATGGACCAGGGTTTGGGACCCCTGATGTAAATGGTATAAACTTGAATTCAGAATACCTTTGAACTGTTCTGCTAATGGGTTAATTTCAACATTATAATTGTTCAAATATTTGGAGATATTTTGGAAAGATAAAGACGGTAGTCTGGGAACTCTAAGAAAAAAGAAGAATTGTGTGTATGTGGGATTTTTCAGAACTTCCGTTACACCACAATTCCTTCTACAGACAGAAGGAAACTTTTATTTGCAGAACATACATTCAGAACACACTTTAGAGTTAATTCTCTTTTGAACTGATCAGCAACTGAAAATGGCTCTAGTGTTTAAGATGGAATTGAAACCAAAAAACAAAGTCTCAGCTTAGAGAAATATAAAGAATGAACAGAGCTGCAGGGTAAAATAAGGGTAGAATATAGAATATTGGGATTCCTCTTCTCCCACAAACCAGTTTATTTGTGCCTTTTTGCATTAAAATCACCAGAATACAATTTTTTACAATCTGTGCTGTGTACCACATATTTAGCATTCTAAGAAAGTCAATTTCCTAAGGGAAACAACTGCTCATCTTAATACAAGTTTGAAAGTTTCAGTATATAATTTTCATGATTCAATTGCTGGCAGTTAATGAATTTTTCTATGAACCAATATGGGACCAAAGACTAATAATACACTTAGATATTTTAGCTAAAATACATGAAGTGATCAGAACATCTCTAAAACAAGGGTAGAGGAGGTAGGGTGCAAATGGGAGGTGTAATTGTGGACTGCATGCATAGATACAAGATTTCAATCTATAGTAGCATCTATCACTTCGGACCTTTTGCCCCACCCCAGTTAACTCTGCAGGGGATACCAATGTTTATAAATTTTGTCTGTCCATAATTGTCAAGAATTTTCTATGGTAGATGATATTACTAAGTCTGTGTGAGGCAGTATGCTTTTTTTGTTTGTTTCTAGGATACATCAGCAATTCTGACAAGTTCTTTTTTTTTAAATCTCCTTTGAGTCAATCTTATCTTCCAGCAGTTGCAGGGATAAGCCTCTGCAATTTCCTTGGCAACATTTTCAGAAGCCATGGAGTTAGGTTCCCTGGAGCTGAAAGAAAGGTTGATTTGCCTAAACGTGCCCAGCTGGCTTCTGTAACTAAGGCAGGATTAAAACTTGGGTTTCCCTGTTGCTAGTCCAACATTTTAACCACTAGAACTGGCTCTCTAGAATAGCCAAATCCATAACCTGGGTTAAAACAGATAAAATCAGTGTAACAGATCATACATTCCACAAAGCATTAAATATAAAAAATAAAATATATTTTCAACTTTACTACTCATTATGACAAACCAGATTATATCAATAACATCTTTCCGCCATAACATAAAAGCCTGTAGCCCAGAATAATGTTCTCTCATTCAAAATTACATTAGATTTAAATAAGATCAGAGCCAAAACGTATTTTATAAAACTGAGGTGTTCTTGATTTTTGTTAAATAAATTGGATTAGTTTCACAAGAACCTGTTTGGAAATAATTAAGCAGATTCCAGCAAATGGTTTCAGCTTTATCAGTAATGCACTATATGGATTAGAGCCATATATTTGGGAAAGAAAAATATAATGTCATATAAGTAAAATAGATGTAAAAGCTGTCAATTATTTCAGCCAACAGGAAAGGGTTATGACGTATTTTATGTTATATGATTTAACTAGGAACTCAGTTCAAGTTATGGATTGACCTGCAAAACTGTCTTTGGCCGACTATATTAGCCCATCGCACCTGGTCAGGCAGGGAGGGTATGCTGTGGACTCCATCAGTTAAAGACTTTTGACTGGCAGGATCCAGGAAGAAGCCTGCTCTGCCATTATCCCCACCCTTTGGAACATTCTCCCCCACCCAGAAATGAGGTGGGTCCCCCCTCTCGCGGATGTTCAGAAACGTCTGAAGATTTGGTTCTGCCAATTCACTTGGGGCTCAAAGAGGAACACATAGCCGTGAGGTTTGTTAGCGCCTTTATGGCCTCCACTGCCTTTTTAACTTTGTTTTTATAATTCTATTTCTGTCTTAACTGCCCGCTGTGGGAATAGATTAACATTTTTTATATTTAATTGTACACTGCTGAGTCGCTCTGCTAGTGAGATAAGTGGTTTCCAAATTTGATAAATGAATAGAAGACTCAGAGCTGCCTTGAACTGTGAGATGGGTGGCAAATAAATGTAAGAAAAAATGTTCAAATAATGCACATAAACATATATCTTTGAAACATCTATCCAGATAGTAGTTTAAGAGTACGTAATAGAAGCTACTAAGCCACACTATCCTATGAGCATTTAGAATTTGCATTGTGAAATGTAAATGCAAAAATTCTTACATACACCAGTTTTGTAAATGCCTAGTCAAACATTTAGGTATCAGTGTGGCAAAAATAATTCAGTTTTCCTCAAAAGTGAATATTTAACATTGTCATTCACTTGTGTTTTTCAGATAAGGCCTGGAGAGATAAAGTCAAACTTCATTCCAGGTGATTTCAACACCACAATCATCTTGGCAGCAATGCATAATTCCTTGTGGGATTTTCTTTTTAATCTCCCAGTCTAATGTATAACCATATTTCCTAGCGGTGTCTCATCCAAAATTTATCATAGACAGTGCCATCTTAGGAGAAAACGATTACCCATTAGATGTTGCTACCTGACTGGACAAAAGCTAGGGATCACATAATAAAGATAATTCTTTAATTAAACAGGCAGAATTACTGATGAAACAAGAAACTGCAAGAGAGTAAAATGATGAATAGCTGAGGGAAGTGACAGCAGAAAGACAACAGAGGCAATGAAGACAGGAAAGAGATGAAATGTCAAAGGGTGAAAAATATATAATGTAAGCAACTTAGGCTAATTAAGAAGGATGAGATAGCAATCTTAAGGCGTTGTTGTCAAAAGGATGGGAAAGCAAGAGTTAGGCTGGGGACAATCCAGTGTAATTTGGATTATCTGATTCAGACATTATTGGATGGAGCCAGCCAGTACAAAATACAAGGTAGTCCTTGACTTAGAAATACAACTGAGCCTAAGATTTCTGCTGCTAAGTGAGACATTTGTTAGGTGAATTTTGCCCCATTTTACAACCTTTCTTGCTACAGTTGTTAAGTGAATCACTGGATCTGACTTTGCTTGTCAGAAGGCCGCAAAAAGTGATCACATGATCCCAGAACACTGCAACCGTCATAAATAGGAGTCAGTTGCCAAGCGGCTGATTTTTGCTCATGTGACCAAGAGGATGCTGCAACGGTCGTTAAGTATGAAACACTGTCATAAACCACTTTTTTCAGTGCCATTGTAACATGCTGAACTGTCACTAAATGGACTGTTGTAAGTTGAGGACTACCTGTAGAAGGTCAGGTCCATCCAGCAGTCCCTACTCCACCCTGAATAGGGACGTAAAAAGGGAGCGTTTCATCCAGTCATGATGACTCTTGAGCTGCATTTCTGGCGGAAGGCGGGTCACCATTAAGTCGGTGGGAAGAGGCTGATGAGCAACGAGGAAAATACGCGGGAGGGAAGCGCTCCTCGGAGTTGTGGAGTGGACTCAGGCAGGGGAAGCCGGGATAACAAGCAGCTCTCCAATTACAAAGAAATAAGCCCCTGGCACTCTGCGAATCACCGGAGAGCAGAAAGGGAAGTCTGCAGCTTTCAAGGGAAGACTAGCGGGGTTCTCTCAGCGGGCGTTAGCGCCTCCAACTCCCAGCCGAAGAAACAGCGGCTTCTCGGCGTCCAGGAGAAGCGCCAAGTCAGACCCCGCACCTGCTGCTCACTCACCTTGGGCTTATCGAAAACAGGCGGGTCGCGCTCCATGCTGCCGCCGCCTCTGACTGCTGAGTTAGCCAGGATTCCTGTGACTGTACCAGCCCGTCCTGTCAGGCTTTTGCAGGGATGGCTCCGCCCAGCGATCGCTTCCGAGGCCGGGCCGCCCGCCCAGTGGCTCTCCGGGAGCTGGAAGCGTGGCTGGGGTGAGAAACTATTTGCTTTTTAAAATATATAATATATTTTCGAGTGAAAAGCGACTCTGGGGGGCGTGCAACAAAATTATAGAACAATAAACTCTCCCCGCTCTTTGCTTCCCCGCCAAGCGCGGTTGTGCCAATCCCGGGCTCGGCCAAAGGCTTCAGAGACAGATTAAAGTTGTGCATGGACAGAGGTGTGTTTTTTTTTGCGGGGTGGCAGCAGGAGGAGGAGCTTTAGACTGAATTCGAGTCAGAGTTTTAAGAAGATGGGAGGAAAACAAAATAAAGACAAAGCCACAAGGGTTGCCCTGATGAACACGTGTTGCTGTAGTTCCTAAACCTTTCCAAGGGATCCCATTCAGCAATGCGGTGGATAATTTTAGAATAGATCCCATGGTTTCAAATACTGAGTGGTCTTGCGAATAGGTACCACTGGCATTCAGAGCAAAATTATGTAGTTTTAAAACGGGAAATTAAACGACTTTTGGAAACTAGGACGAATGTTTTGCCCAGCCCCATTTATTCAACCTCATGTTCCAGTAAGAATTCGGTGTTTACATTCTCTTCCTGTTATGTAAAAAAAAAAAAACTTGCAATATAGACAAGTGTAAAGTACAGATGTTACTGAAACAATTTTACAAGTATGCTTATTGTTCCCATACCAGCTGAACAGGTTTAAATTAATCTTTGTACACAACTCAGAATGAAGTATTTGAATTATGTACTATGCGGTGCATTTAGCAACACTGAAGGTACTAATAGTCTTGTACAAATAGCCAATAATGTGACATATATTAAACTCCACTATTTTACTGCTACAGGTGTCTACAAGATGGTTTTATTGGACATTGACATACAATGTACATACAATAAAATGAAGTATTTTAATTCAATTAGAATTATGAATAGCCTTTAGAGGTTTTTTTTTCAATATTACAATGAAATATTCCAATTACTCATTCTGTGTTAGTAAGACTTCAAACAATGATTTTGCCATTGTCAGGGTTACAAAATCTTTATGTTAATTATATAGCTGTATAAAAAGGCTTATTACTTTGTATTTCTGATTGTCACTGCTTATTTTATACTGTTATTTAATATATGTGTAAATAGATTCTAGTCTCCAGATTAAAATGTATTTTTAAGAATATCCTGCTAGTTGACTGCTGAGTCGTCCTAGGGCCTCTTCCCACCTGCATTTAAATACAATCCTGGCAACTTCTGAAGTCATTCTTACTTACATTGGACTAGCATTAAAATAATATTTTCCCCCTTTCAAAGGTAGTTTCAGCATGTACACAACCTGTTGAGTATTCCAGGCATTACCTTGAAGAGAAGTCAGGAAATTGGCAGTAAAATTAAGATAGGGATTACAGCAGTAATAAGAAAGCAGATTACATGCCTATTAAATTGTATGCTGACTCAAGTGATGGTAAATAGCCTTGTAAGTTTAAAAGGCATTACACCTTAGTTAGACCAGAAGTGAAGTTGGAAGTTTAAGATGTTGCTTAGCTATAGCTTCCAATGCCCAAAATCATATGCATAATTGTAAAAGATGCTGGGAGTTGTAGTTCAAACTAGACTTAGAAAGCCATAGATTACTAATCCATATGTCAGAGTTTTAAAATACACATATCTAGTGTTTTGCATTATCATACAGGCAAGCCAGATCTTGGTGTTCATAAGATCTTGGTCTGGGAGCTCCAATCTCTTCACTTCCAACATGGCTCACTATAGTTCAGACATCAAGTCGTAACAAAAAAAAATTGCATTCAATTCTATATACGCTTGAATTCCCATTTTCTCTTTTCCTCTTATTTTTATGCACACGTATTCATGCTAGCTATATTAATACATCAATTAATGCAAAACTCTTGTGTTTATTACAATTTGCAGTGAGGTGTGAAGTGACACTCCACACCAGTACTTGAAATGGTTTAAAATGTTTTATTTATTTTGAACTTTTATTGTGGAAATTACTATTTATTTTCATTGGGTATTTGAATATTCTGAATTTGAATCTTTATTTTGTGATGTTAGTGTGGGAGAACGATTCTGGGGAAACTTGACTATGAAGGATAGTATGCAATTAAAAATAGATAGCATAATACATTGTGTGGTCAGGCGTTGGCCTAGCATAGTGTACTAACTGGTGCAAATCCATTCTAATGTCTGGTCATAAGAATACTAGGATTTCCCTTGACCTCCCATTTTTGTTAATATTTTTCATTGCTTTAATTGTTGCTACTTTCTTATTCTAGTGGGAACCTAAAACAAGAATTATTGCAAATTAATGATGGTATAAACAAGTGCAGTTAAAACTGAGGAAACCACACTGCGAAAGGAAGTATGTGGTTCTTCTGCTTGCTTGGTGAAACAAAATACCAACATTAAAATAAGACAATTCCTGGAATTGGTTTCTAAAAACATGATTATTGCAGCTAGATCAGAAGGGGATTAATGCTTTTCTAAGGAAGGGCAAAATACCATATGTTTTAAAGAGGTGGTAATGTGACCTTCCTTGAAATGTGACAGGTAAAAAGGTAAAGGCTCCCCTCACACATATGTGCTGGTCATTCCCGACTCTAGGGGGCAGTACTCATCTCTGTTTCAAAGCCAAAGAGCCAGTGCTGTCCAAAGACATCTCTGTGGTCATGTGACCCGCATGACTAAACAACAAGGGCGCACCTTCCCACCAAAGGTGGTTCCTATTTTTCTACTTGCATTTTTGCATGCTTTCGAACTGCTAGGTTGGCAGAAGCTGGGACAAGTAATGGGAGCTCACTCCGTTACGTGGCACTAGGGATTCAAACCGTTGGATTGCCAACCTTTCTGATTGACAAGCTCAGTGTCTTAGCCACTGAGCCACTGCATCCTGTTTATTCACCACTCTATTCCGATCTTCTGCCCCAAGTGCTAATTATTACCTATAACCTATAACACCCCCCTAATAGGTTATAATTAGCATTACAGTGCCAAGATTGATTATGATTATGATTCTGTCACGTCCAGGCAATCCAGGCAGGATCTGAATACGCTTCCTCCAAGAAGTCAAGCATCTCTGATTGCCATAGCAAAATGAAACATGCTGCCCTAAGTGTCATGGCCCCTCATGTTTGGCATTCAGGAAAACACTTAAAACGTTTATTTGAAAATGGAATATTGCTTACTTTGATTCCTAGTTGATGGTGTCTGAGTGAATAGATATAGACTTAAATATGCTATGGTGAGAGGATGTTTTATTGATGGGACAGATAAAATGATTGGGGGATAGTTTTTATGTTACATTGATTTGTCCTGTTTACCACCCAGAGTTATCTGTTTGAAAGGTATAGACATTTTGTGAATACACACAAAACGCTATAGACATGAATTGAGACCTGTCTCTAAGCACATAACTCATTAGATAATCACTATTCTCATTCATTCTTGGCTCTCACACTGGGTCAGTCATTCTTCCTCTCATCCGCTGAATTTTTGAACTTGCACAAGTTAACAAAATTAATTTCTGTTTAACTGTGAACTTTACATAGAAAGGTCACTTAGAAAACACCCATTTCTTAAGAAACTAATAACTAAAAAAATAAAGGAAATAGTAACAGAAAGCCAAGTGGATGCAGTGGTTACTTACTGTATTGTGTGTACTAGTTGAAAACTGTGTGACCATGAATTCTAGCCTGGTGAGATGCTTGTTAACCAGTCAAGCTCCTTTGGCTCTGGGACAGGGATCTCCAAACTTGGCAACTTTAAGACTTGTGGATTTCAACTTCCAGAATTCCCCAGCCAGCAACACAAGACTTAAAGTTGCCAAGGTTGGAGATCTCTGCTCGAGGAAAAAGACAGTGGCAAACTGTTTACAGAAAATGTTGCCAAGAAAACTGCATAGATTTGTCCAGGTATCTATTAAGATTGACTGAAAGGCACTAAATAAATAAACACTACTGAATAAACATTTTTTTTGTAAATATAAATGTCAAATAATAGATGACAGCAACATTTAAATGTACTTTCCTAAAACTTAAACACAAACAGGCATTGTGTATGGTTTACATAGGATGCCAATTTGAAAGCATTTTACAAATAGTCCTTTTTTAGCAACCACAATTGGGACCACTCAGTTGTTAAGTGAAGTGTTCATGAAATGAAACCATGACAGTGCTAAAGATCTTACTTCAGTTTTCCTATGCTTTAAAGATTCGTGAAAGTCATAAATGTGAGGATTGGTTGCAAAGCTACTTTTCATCACTGACATAACTCTAACTAGTCACTAAATGAGGCAATCACTAAATGAGGAATGCCTGTAGTATGTTGTTCAGTTTCCTTGCAAATCTGAGAACAAATATAACCAATATGAATGGTGACTCCAACACAATCAAGTCAGTGCAGAAGAACTGCAATTTAAATACAGTGGCTGAATGATTTAAACACGCTGGCTGGGAAAATCTGGAAATTGAAGTCAATACAATTTAAAGTTGCTAAATATGAGAAACTCTGAACTATGCGTAGGAGGAAATTCTGAACTATGAACTATTTTACAGCTATTTCATTATATTAAATAGAAATATAACTGATTTTATCAGTTAGCCTGGTACATGGCTTTTATTGGCCTGGAAAATGGAAGATGAAAGCAGATTTTTATTTACAGCCCTAAAGCAAGGTTTGTCTTTATAGCCTGCTGCGGAAAAGTTCAACTTTGGCAATGCTCAGATGACCTTGGCTGACCTCAAAAAGCTCAGCAGAATTAAACCTGGTTAATACTTGGGTGGAGACAATCAGGAAATACCAGAACTATAGGCTTGAGTTCTTTTGTTAGGAAAGTTAGAGTTTTGTAAAGTCAAGTTAATAGAATGTTTCCTGTTCAGTTATTCTGTGTACTTCCTGTTTCTCTTAC